GGGGAGTTTATTGACTGTAGGGAAAAATGTCAAAAGCCAAAATCAGCCGCTGTAAAAACGTTGTGTGCATGAGGGCTTAAAGTACAAATTTACATTAGATAAGGAAAGCAACAACCTTTGCCGCAGATAAGGTTTGGAAAGTTTATTTAGATAAGAGTTGAAAAGTAAAAGTAAAGATCAGAAATTAACCTGCACTGAGATCATCAGACATAGTAAGTGCACCAAGGTTCTGTCTTCTTGGTCAAAACGGGTGGCTTTTAAACTCCATCCTGGACAGCTGTCATGTAGGACCTCCATAACATAAACATTCTACATTTATTTCAGGTACTCTTATAGTGCCGTCAATTTTACACAGCGCTTTACATATATATTATACAGTCACATCAGTCCCTGACCCTCGAGGGGCTAAGGTCCCAATCTAAGGTCCCTAACTTACATTCATAAATACACATACTAGGGCCAATTTAGACAGGAGCCAATTAACCTACCAGCATGTCTTTGGAGTGTGGGAGGAAACCAGAGCACCCGTAGGAAACCCATGCAAGCACAGGGAGAACATGCAAACTCCATGCAGGAGGCACCATGGTCGGGAATCAAACCCATGACCCATTTACTGCAAGGCATACGTGCTAACCACTAAGCCACTAAGCCACTGTGCCGCATAAACATTCTACATTAAATTATTCACCCAAGAATTTGTACAGCCAACACATCAGTAATTACAGTTTGCCGCTGATTAGAGCTATTCACCTGGAATGTAATCTCCTCCCAAAGAGTCCCGCCCGATTTCTGAGCAGTGCGGTCTGGTTCAGGTGCGAATTACAAGCTATTGACTTCTATGGGAACGTTTCTAAACTGCACATGTGTGACCAGAATAAAATCCTGAGCTAATCCTGTCCTGAACCTGATGTAAACCTGACATGAACCGATGAATAACTACTGTATCAATTAGCTTTGAAACCTGAGCTTCAATCCACACCGCACATGTGTGAATCAGCTGTACCAGCCACGGCACCACCTGCCTGGAGTTTGCATGTTCTCCCTGTGCCTGCGTGGGTTTCCTCCGGGTACTCCGGTTTCCTCCCACACTCCAAAGACATGCTGGTAGGTAAATTGGATCCTGTCTAAATTGGCCCTGGTATGTGTATGTATGAATGTGAGTTAGGGACCTTAGATTGTACACCCCTTGAGGGTTAGGGACTGATGTGAATGTACAATATATAAAGTGCTGCGCAAATTGACGGCGCTATACAAGTACCTGTAATAAATAAATAAGTGCTCGTTCACATATATGAGGATTGGATGCAGTTTGAACTGCATCCAATCCGCATGACATGTGAAATACCATTGCTTCCTATGGTGCCTGTTCACATATGTCCGCTGCAGATTCCATGCGGTTTTAAAAAGAGTCATGTCTGACTTATGAGCAGAGCTGATTCACACATGTGCAGCTGATTCACACATTGCTCAGGTTTCACAGATAATTGATACAGTAGTTGTTCACAGGTTCATGTCAGGTTCAGGACAGGATTAGCTCAGGATCTTATCTTCACACATATGCGGTTTAGAAACGGTTCGCAAAGAAATCAATAGCCTGTAACCGCACCTGAACCGGACAGCACAGCTCAGAAATCGGACATGATTGCTTTTAAAACTACACTGAATCCGCACCGCCAGTGCACCGGACATATGTGAACAGGCACCATAGGAAGCAATGTTATTTCACATGTCATGGAATTGAATGCGGTTCAAACCGCACCCAATTCACATATAGAGAGAACAGGGCCTGACTGCAAAAGGGTTAATGCAGAGAATGCAATAGGGAAAAAACCTTTAGGCCAGTTCACACTACATGCATTTCAGTTGCTTTTTCTTCTGCATCCATAATGCACAGAAAGTAGGTTATATGGTTGTCAACGTCATAGTTCACATCAGTGCTTGCAGTTGCAGAACAAAAAGTAGAACATGCTGCATTTTTTCTGCACAGAACTGTACTGGAACATGGTAAAATGCACAGAAATGCACCAACACGCAGTAAAAACACAGTGGAATGCACACGCCCCTATTTAAATTGAAGAAAAAAGAGAGGGGAAACACTGAACTGGAATGCATCAAAAACGCGTCAAAAATGCACATGCGGAAATGCATTAGGAACGCATCTGAACTATTTTTTCTATAGTGTGGTCGGTTCACACTACAGAAAATCACTCTGCATTCTGGATATGTTTTTGCTTGCAGTTCACACCACACGCAGTTCTGATGCAGTTTGTCACGTTCCAGTATGGTTCTGTACAGAAAAAATGCAGCATGTTCTACTTTTTTTTTCTGCACCGGAAACTGACTGGAGATGACTGCACTAGTGTGAACCAGGGCCATTAGAATGCATGGAAAACACTGTGCATGCATTTTGATGCAGAAAAATAGCACCTTGAACTGCATCTAGTGTGAATTAGCCCTTAGGGCTGGTTCACACTATAGAAATGCAGTCCAGATGCATTCCAGATGCCTATCCACAAGTGTACAATCCAAACGCACACATTCCTGCAAAAAAAATGGCTGTGTGTATCTGGGTGCTGCAGCCACCGTCGGCTGGAACCAAACAGAATCAAAAAGTTTTAATGAACGATCACATAGTTACAGCAAGGCAACGTTTCGGAGTCTCGCAGGACCCCTTCATCAGGCATGTGACATTGCCTTGCTGTAACTATGTGATTGTTTATTACAACTTTTGGACCCATATTGGTGATCCTCGGTGTACTGGTGACATTCTCCCTTGCAGATGCGTTTTCATATTCGTTCTTTTTTTATGCATTCCAGTTCATTTTTTCCCTCTCTTTTTCTTCAATTTAAATAGGGACATGTGCATTCCAGTGCGTTTTTTGGTGCGTTCCAGTGCGTTTTTGATGTGTTTTTCCGCGTTCCAGTGCAGTTCTGTGCAGGATAAACGCAGCCTGTTCTACTTTTTTTTTATGCAACTGGAACGCACTGGAACTGCAAGCACTGATGTCAACTATGACATTGACAACCATATAACCTACTCTCTGTGCATTTTGGATGCAGAAAGAAGCAGCTGAAACGCATGTCATGTGATCTGGCCCTTTAGAGTTTAGAACCACTTTAGTGAATGGAAGCGCATCGGCTGTATAAACTCATTTGCACTTCCGAGATTGTCAGGTATGCAGGGATAAGTGTGTAGACCTGGATGCATGGGCTCTGCATTAGGGGTTGTGGACTTGTCCCTACATACCTGTCATAATCTTAGATTGTAAGCTCCAAGGAGCAGGGCCCTCCTATCCCTCTTGTATTGAACTGTATTGTTGCTGTATTGTCTCCCTTTATATTGTAAAGCACTGAGCAAACTTGGTGCTACATAAATCCTGTATAATAATAATAATAATATATAAATCCTGTATAATAGTAATAATATCTATATATAAATCCTGTATAATAATAATAATAATATCTATATATAAATCCTGTATAATAATAATATCTATATATAAATCCTGTATAATAATAATAATAATATCTATAAATCCTGTATAATAATAATATATAAATCCTGTATAATAGTAATAATATCTATATATAAATCCTGTATAATAATAATAATAATATCTATATATAAATCCTGTATAATAATAATAATATCTATAAATCCTGTATAATAATAATATATAAATCCTGTATAATAGTAATAATATCTATATATAAATCCTGTATAATAATAATAATATCTATATATAAATCCTGTATAATAATAATATCTATAAATCCTGTATAATAATAATAATATACTGTATTTTCCGGCGTATAAGACAACTTTTTTTACTTAAAAACATACCCCAACAATTCGGGGTCGTCTTATACACCGGGTATAGAACCGCTGGATGTGCGGTGATACTGTACGGTAGCTTCAGCTACATACAGTATACCGCGCTGAGCCAATCATGGCGAGCGATGTATTCAAATAATGAATACAGAGCCTGCTCGGATTGGCTGAAGTTGTGACATCAGCCCGCCTCTCTGACGCAGCCAATCCGAGCAGGCTCTGTATTCATTAATAGAATACATCACTTGCTGTGATTGGCTCATATGACGTTCTCCCATTCTCCGCGCATGCGCGGTGATGCGCTGTGTCCCTCAGTGGGCCCTGATGATCAGTTTAGCCCCAGCAGTGCCCACTGTCAGTGTCCATCAGTGCCACATATCAGTGCCCATCTGAGCTGCCTTTCAGTGTCACCCATCAGTGCCAGTCAGTGCCACCTATCAATGCCTATCAGTGCCACCTATTAGTGCGCATCAGTGCCGCCTATCAGTGCCATGTATCAGTGCTGCCTTTCAGTGCCCATCAGTGATGCCTGTCAATGCCCATCAGTGCCACCTATCAGTGCCGCCTATCAGTGCCGCCTATCAGTGCCACCTATCAGTGCCACCTATCAGTGCCAGTCAGTGCTGCCTATCAGTGCCACCTATCAGTGCCATGTATCAGTGCTGCCTTTCAGTGCCCATCAGTGCCACCTACCAGTGCCTCCTCATCAGTGCCCATCAGTGCCACCTATTTCATATGGGTACAGTGTTGCATGACCGCGCAATTATCATTCAAAGTGTGACAGTGCTGAAAGCTGAAAATTGGCCTGGGGGGGAAGTGGGTATAAATGCCCTGTAGGCTAGGGGTTAAATGGTGTTGCCTCGGAAGGGGGGTAGTTTTATACGGCGAGTATAGCCCAAAACCTATGTTTTAACTGGAAAATTAGGGGGTCGTCTTATACACCCAGTCGCCTTATACGCCGGAAAATACGGTAATAATATTAATAATACTCAGCTGTGCAAGGGAGTGGACACAGCTGATGCGCTTCTATTCACTAATATGTCTGCTCTCTGCAAGTACAAAAACCTAAACTTGCCTCAATTACGCAGTACGGGTCTCAGCGTCAGTGGCCAGCCACAACTGTATCCTTATATCTTTTCTTCATTCATCTTTTACTTTTGTTTTTCAGTCTGCGTGGAACAGATTATTCTTCTGGAAGAGTGTGACGGAAAAACTCCCACTGAAGTCACATCAGTTTCGCATTCTTAATCCTCTCATCGTGAAGGAGACGGCATTGGATATCCTGCAGTTCCTTCCTCCCCAGTGGAAGTGGTGGGGGTGGAACAAGGTACGTCCTCTGAGGATGTGTAAACATCACTATAACATAACTATATAGCCATTGTAAACGACTGACACATTATAAACGTTTATAATACTTTAATCTATGCTACTGGTGAATCACCTGATTTGCCTTGCCCTTGTGCTGCATTTCTGTCATCTAGTAATCTAGATCAGAGGTAGGCAAGCTATGCACTCCAGCTGTTCTGGCACTACAAGTCCCACGAGGCATTGCAAGACTGACTTGCACAGGTATGACTCCCAAAGGCAGAGGCATGATGGGATTTGTAGTCTCATCACAGCTGGAGAGCTGAGGCTGCCTACCTCTGATCTAGGTAGTGAACAGGGAGGGATGCATTGCACATTTCTGTGGTTACATTTTTGGATAGAATGGGGAAGGGGTCTCTATCAATTTTTTAATGCTTGTCTGTGTAATCCACATCCTGGGGATCATAGTGACCGGGAAAGAAAAAAGAAGAAATCCAGAAGCCTACAGCGTTCACTATAATAGAAAAATAATATGCAGTTCAGTTTTGGGCACCAATTCACAAAAAAACATTGGGGAACTGGAGAAAGTACAGAGAAGGGCAACCAAACTGATAAGAGGCATGGAGGAGCTCAGCTATGAGGAAAGATTAGAGGAACTGCATTTATTCTCTCTTGAGAAGAGGAGATTAAGGGGGAATATGATCTCCATGTATAATACATAAGGGGGGATATGATCTCCATGTATAATACATAAGGGGGGATATGATCACCATGTATAATACATAAGGGGGGATATGATCTCCATGTATAATACATAAGGGGGGATATGATCTCCATGTATAATACATAAGAGGGGATATGATCACCATGTATAATACATAAGGGGGGATATGATCTCCATGTATAATACATAAGGGGGATATGATCTCCATGTATAATACATAAGGGGGATATTCTCTCCATGTATAATACATAAGGGGGATATGATCACCATGTATAATACATAAGGGGGGATATGATCTCCATGTATAATACATAAGGGGGATATGATCTCCATGTATAATACATAAGGGGGGATATGATCTCCATGTATAATACATAAGGGGGATATGATCTCCATGTATAATACATAAGGGGGGATATGATCACCATGTATAATACATATGGGGGGATATGATCTCCATGTATAATACATAAGGAGGATATGATCTCCATGTATAATACATAAGGGGGGATATGATCATCATGTATAACACATAAGGGGGATATGATCAACATGTATAATACATAAGGGGGATATGATCAACATGTATAATACATAAGGGGGATATGATCTCCATGTATAATACATAAGGGGGATATGATCTCCATGTATAATACATAAGGGGGATATGATCTCCATGTATAATACATAAGGGGGATATGATCTCCATGTATAATACATAAGGGGGATATGATCTCCATGTATAAATACATAAGGGGGATATGATCAACATGTATAATACATAAGGGGGGATATGATCACCATGTATAATACATAAGGGGGATATGATCACCATGTATAATACATAAGGGGGGATATGATCTCCATGTATAATACATAAGGGGGATATGATCTCCATGTATAATACATAAGGGGGGATATGATCAACATGTATAAATACATAAGGGGGGATATGATCACCATGTAATAATACATAAGGGGGGATATGATCAACATGTATAATACATAAGGGGGGGGATATGATCTCCATGTATAATACATAAGGGGGGATATGATCTCCATGTATAATACATAAGGGGGGGATATGATCAACATGTATAATACATAAGGGGGATATGATGTCCATGTATAATACATAAGGGGGGATATGATCTCCATGTATAATACATAAGGGGGGATATGATCTCCATGTATAATACATAAGGGGGATATGATCTCCATGTATAATACATAAGGGGGGATATGATCTCCATGTATAATACATAAGGGGGGATATGATCTCCATGTATAATACATAAGGGGGGATATGATCTCCATGTATAATACATAAGGGGGGATATGATCTCCATGTATAATACATAAGGGGGATATGATCTCCATGTATAATACATAAGGGGGGATATGATCAACATGTATAAATACATAAGGGGGGATATGATCACCATGTATAATACATAAGGGGGGATATGATCAACATGTATAATACATAAGGGGGGATATGATCTCCATGTATAATACATAAGAGAGGATATGATCTCCATGTATAATACATAAGGGGGGATATGATCACCATGTATAATACATAAGGGGGATATGATGTCCATGTATAATACATAAGGGGGGATATGATCTCCATGTATAATACATAAGGGGGGATATGATCTCCATGTATAATACATAAGGGGGATATGATCTCCATGTATAATACATAAGGGGGGATATGATCTCCATGTATAATACATAAGGGGGGATATGATCTCCATGTATAATACATAAGGGGGGATATGATCTCCATGTATAATACATAAGGGGGGATATGATCACCATCTATAATACATAAGGGGGGATATGATCTCCATGTATAATACATAAGGGGGATATGATCTCCATGTATAATACATAAGGGGGATATGATCTCCATGTATAATACATAAGGGGGATATGATCAACATGTATAATACATAAGGGGGATATGATCTCCATGTATAATACATAAGGGGGGATATGATCAACATGTATAATACATAAGGGGGGATATGATCAACATGTATAAATACATCAGTGGTTCATATAGTGAACTTGGTGTAGCTATTCACCCTGAGGTCATCACAGAGGACAAGGGGGCACTATTTATGTCTGGAGGAAAAGAAATTTAATCTCCAAACACAGAAAAGTTTCTTCACAGTGAGAGCTGTGAAAATGTGGAATAGACTCCCTCAAGAGTTGGTTCTGGCCAGTTCAGTGGATTGCTTTAAAATAGTCCTGGATTCTTTCTTGGATACACAGAATTTAACTGGATATAACATTTATAGGTAAAGTTGATCCAGGGAATATCCGGTTGCCTCTTGGGGGATCAGGAAGGAATTTTTTCCCCTACAGGAGCAAAATTGCATCATGCTTTGCTGGGTTTTTTTTGCCTTCCTCTGGATCAACTGTGGGTGTAGGATTATAACTTTTGTTTTTTAATGGTTGAACTGGATGGACTTTTGTCTTTTTTTCAGTCAGACTAACTATGTAAGGTTTCACAGATGCGCCTGGGGAATTGGAGAACAGGGCGGTCCTAGTGCGAGGGCCTGTCCTAGAGTTGGGGAGTTAGTTTGTTGCCACTGTTCAGGAACAAAAGCGTAGTTTGAGGATATCCAGAAGTTGATACTGGAAGCCAGGAACCAATAAGTTGTACAAAGTGTAAATCCAGAAGCTTAGTCAGACAGGTTGGGGTCAGGACAGGCAACAAAGTATCTGAAGTCCAGGGTACAAGCCAAGAGCCCAAGAAACACAATCTATGGAGCAGAACAAGGGTTGTGACATCTGTCACAGGTGGTGCTGAAGTTTTCTGTTTTCCTGTTTATACAGCGGGAAGCCATTCAGGATTCAGCGTGAAGATCAACTCTCGGATGAAACTGCATGAAGTGCTGATGTGCTTTATGCTTTTATAGTGTATGCAAATACTTAGCTTACCCAGGGATCCCTTTACAGGTGGAACTACACTGAGCATGCTTTACAGTCTGTCCCTGGCCACAAGCTGCCAGCAGCAGGATCTCCTAGAGACCACTTACCTTCTCCTGCAGCATTGCTTTGTGGCTTTAAGTATCAGCAACACATTGCCGCTCCTGCACTAGCAAGCAAGGTCTTGCAGCGTTTGGGTCAGTGAAGAAATCAGTGACTTGGAACAGATATATACAGAATGATGTGACTATACTGGCAGTATGCATGCTGTAGCGCAGGGATTCAGAACATTTTAAGGCCTGTAACTGCCATTCATCTAACATTTTCAAAGGGAGTTTAGCAGTAGCTACCTGCATAATGTATTTAAAGGCAAACACGTTTAATTTACAGTATGTACAATAACATAAAGAGTACCTGTAACTAGTTATGTGTATAAGCACTAGCTTGTCAGTATGACTGTGGTAGTGGCATTTCATTGTCTGTATGAGGGCAATAGCATATGTGATAGTCGTAGCAGCATTAGGTTGCATGACAGTGGTTGTGGCATTAGATTGGCTTTATGACGGTGCTAGTGGCATTAGATTGGCTTTATGACGGTGTTAGTGGCATTAGATTGGCTTTATGACGGTGGTGGTGCATTAGATTGGCTTTATGACGGTGCTAGTGGCATTAGAATGGCTTTATGACGGTGGTGGTGGCATTAGATTGGCTTTATGACGGTGGTAGTGGCATTAGATTGGCTTTATGATGGTGGTAGTGGCATTAGATTGTCTGTATGACGGTGGTAGCACTATTAGATTGGCTGTATGACGGTCGTAGCAGTATTGGACTGGCTGTATGACGGTGGTAGCAGATTATATTGTATGACAGTGATAGCAACATTAAATTGGCTGTATGGCAGTGGCATTACGTTGGCTGTATAGTGGTGGTAGCAACATTAGATTGTATAACAGAAGTAGCTCTATTATATTGACTGTATGACAGTGGTAGCAGAATTAGATTTTATAACAGTGATGGCAACATTAGATTGGCTGTATGGTGTTGATAGCAACATTAGATTGTATGACAGTGATAGCAGCAATAGTCTGGTTGTATGACGGTGGTAGCAGCATTATGTTGTATGACACTGATAGCAACATTAGATTGGCTGTATGGCAGTGGCACTAGATTGTCTGTATGATGGTGATAGCACTATTGATTGTATGACAGTGATAGCAATAGATTGGCTGTATGACGGTGGTAGCGACATTAGATTGTCTGTTAGATGGTACAGGCGGCTTTAGATTGGCTGCCTGTATGGCAATAGCAGCGACATTAGATTGTATGACAATGATGGCAACATTAGATTGACTGTATGAAGGTGATGCACCATTAGTTTGTAGAACTAATCATTAGATTGGCTGTATGACTGTGGTACATCAGCATCATACATTGTATGACACTGATAGCAACATTAGGCTGGCTGTATGGCAGTGGCACTAGATTGTATGATGGTGATAGCACTATTAGATTGTATGACAGTGATAGCAGCAATAGTCTGGTTGTATGATGGTGGTAGCGACATTATGTTGTATGACACTGATAACAACATTAGATTGGCTGTATGGCAGTGGCACTAGATTGTCTGTCTGTATGATGGTGATGGCACTATTAGATTGTATGATGGCGATGGCACTATTAGATTGTATGATGGCGATGGCACTATTAGATTGTATGATGGTGATGCGCCCATTAGATTGTCTGTATGACGGTGGTTGCGACATTAGATTGTCTGTTAGATGGTGCATAGCAGTAGCGAGCATTAGATTTAGGACACATGTGATGGCAACATTAGATTGACTGTATGAAGGTGATAGCACCGTTAATTTGTATGACACTGATAGCAGTAATAGATAGATAGCAGCATTACATTGTATGACAGTGATAGCAACATTAGGCTGGCTGTATGGCAGTGGCACTAGATTGTATGATGGGATGGCACTATTAGATTGTATGATGGTGATGGCACTATTAGATTGTATGATGGTGATGGCACCATTAGATTGTATGATGGTGATGGCACCATTAGATTGTATGATGGTGATGGCACCATTAGATTGTATGATGGTGATGGCACCATTAGATTGTATGATGGTGATGGCACCATTAGATTGTATGATTGTGATGGCACTATTAGATTGTATGATGGTGATGGCACCATTAGATTGTATGATGGTGATGGCACCATTAGATTGTATGATGGTGATGGCACCATTAGATTGTATGATGGGGATGGCACCATTAGATTGTATGATGGTGATGGCACCATTAGATTGTATGATGGTGATGGCACCATTAGATTGTATGATGGGATGGCACCATTAGATTGTATGACGGGGATGGCATCATTAGATTGTATGACGGTGATGGCACCATTAGATTGTATGATGGTGATGGCACCATTAGATTGTATGATGGTGATGGCACCATTAGATTGTATGATGGGGATGGCACCATTAGATTGTATGATGGGGATGGCCATTAGATTGTATGATGGCGATGGCACCATTAGATTGTATGATGGTGAGATGGCGATAGCACCATTACATTGTATGACAGTGATAGCAGCAATAGATTGTCTGTATGATGGTGATGGCACTATTTGATTGTATGATGGTGATGGCACTATTAGATTGTATGATGGTGATGGCACTATTTGATTGTAGGACGGTGATGGCACTATTAGATTGTATGATGGCGATGGCACTATTTATTTGTATGATGGTGATGGCACTATTAGATTGTATGACGGTGATGGCACTATTAGATTGTATGATGGCGATGGCACTATTTGATTGTATGACGGTGATGGCACTATTTGATTGTATGATGGCGATGGCACTATTAGATTGTATGATGGCGATGGCACTATTAGATTGTATGATGGCGATGGCACTATTAGATTGTATGATGGCGATGGCACTATTTAGATTGTATGATGGTGAGATGGCGATAGCACCATTACATTGTATGACAGTGATAGCAGCAATAGATTGTCTGTATGATGGTGGTAGTGACATTGGATTGTCTGGATGATGGTGGTAGTGACATTGGACTGTCATGGTGCAGGCAGCATTAGATTGGCTTACTGTTCGGCAGTGGTATCGGCATTATATTGATTTCATGACGTCTTTGCTGTAAGGCAGTAGCAGCAACGTTTAGCTGTAAGCTTCCTCAGGGCAGGGGAATGGTTCAGAATTCACTATATAAATAGTTGTGGAGTGTGCTGTCACTATATAAAGAAATAGAATGAAAGGCTTTTATGGTCTATATAATTATTTTATTATTTACTTTGTCTTTATCTTCTGTCTAGAATGTCCCCACTATAGGTGCAATCGCTTTGGTCCTAGCCACACACCTCTGTGATGAAGTGAGTTTAGCAGGCTTTGGATATGACCTCAATCAGCCGGACATCCCTCTGCATTATTTTGGAAATCTCTGTATGAATTCAATGAACAGACAGCCAATGCATGATGTCACCAAAGAGAGGAAGCTACTGCAAATGTTGGTGCGGGAAGGTGTGCTGAAAGATCTTAGCGGGGGCATTCACTGTGACTTTTGCCCTTTAATCAGACAGGGGAATCACTTCACGTATGATGGCATGTCCTTGGGACCTGTAATAAAGGGAGCCACTTCCACTACCAACGGAAGGCATGAAGTCATCGCTGTGACCCTCCATCGACAATACTGTGACTCTGGACGAGGGCGATGATGATGAATTTAGCAGGAAATTTATGCAATGCTTCCTCTACCTGGATATGCTGCAAAAAAAAATTTTTTTTTTTGCTCATCTCATCTCTGCAAAGAATGGCACAAGTTATCCTTTGGATTTTTTGCCCAAAGTCCTACTTGCTAGGTGCTACCATCAGCAAATAAAACAGCTGCCTCCAGGTACAAGAAGTGGCTGCAGTGGTCGTTCGTATGCAGCAGCAGCTACACATTTCCTTGCCTGCCATGTCGCTGACAGCCATATCGTTTAATTGATCATGCAGTCAGGTTTGATGGTTCCGGAATAGAGCCTCTATCATGGGAACATAATGACACTGTTCATCACAGGTGTGGCATGGAAGCCATCATGGGACCAGCACACTATCACATGGTAACTTCAAATCCATGTCATCAGTGAACTCTCAGAACATGTAAAATGAAAGACTGAGGATATTCTATTTTTATTTAATCCTGAAATGCAAAATACTTTATGATAAAGTGCTGTAATATTTTTTTTAATTTTTACCATTTCCAGACTGCTATGTCTCATCATTTTGTTTAAACCACTCTGAAAGGGGAACTCCAATCAAGACAGAAACTACTAGAGATTAGTAGATTTATATCTGTTTAGATGTGCAAGTTTTTATTTCTTTTACCAATTCCTTTAATTTGGGATCATTTAGTGTTGTAGTCCTGTCCTGTTTATTTTTTGAGTGTCATGTGGACATTGGTCCACCATTAGGATTTTCTCTGCTTGCAGTATCACCTGCTGGTAAAATTTGGTATTGCTGCGCTAACAATGAACTACAGTTGTTCTCTTTTGGGAACCACTATATACAGTTGCAAGAAATAGTATGTAAACCCCTTGGGATTACATGGAGTTTTGCATGAATTGGGCATAAAATGTGCTCTGAACGTCATCTAAGTCACAACAATAGAAGAACACAGTCTGCTGAAAATAATACTACACAAACATTAGATGTTGCCATGGTTTAATTGCACATAACATGTAAAGATTCACAGTGCAGGGAGGAAAAAGTATGTGAGGCCCTAGCTTAATGACTTCTCCCAGAGCTAATTGGAGCCAGGAGTGAGCCAACCTTGACTCCAATCAGTGTGATGATATTGGATGTGTTGCTGACAGCTGTCCTGCCCTTAAAAAACACACACCTGTTTTGGGTTTACTGGTTTCAAGAAGCACTGTCTGATGTGAACCATGCCTCGCAGAAAAGAGCTCTCAGAAGACCTACGATCAAGAATTGTTGACTTGCATGAAGCTGGAAAGGGTTACAAAAGTATCTCCAAAAGCCTTGATGTTCATGTGTCCACGGTAAGACAGACTGTCTACAAATGGAGAAAGTTTAGCACTGTTGCTACTCTCCCTAGGCGTGGTCGTCCTGTAAAAATGACTGGGTGATGCAACAGGACAATGACCCAAAGCATACAAGTAATTCAACAAAACAATGGCTGCAACAGCACAGAATACGCCTTCTGGAGTGGCCCAGTCAGAGTCCTGACCTCAACCCGATTGAAATGCTGTGGCATGACTTTAAGAGAGCGATTCACACCAGACATCCCAAGAATATTGCTACACTGAAACAATTTTGTGAAGAGGAGTGGTCCAAAATTACTCCAGATCGTTGTGCAGGTCTGATCTGCAACTACAGGAAACGTTTGGTTGAGGTTATTGCTGCCAAAGGAGGGTCAACCAGCTATTAAGTCCAAAGGTTCACATACATTTTCCTACCTGCACTGTGAATGTTTACATGTTATGTGCAATTAAACCATGGCAACATCTAATGTTTGTGTAGTATTATGTTCAGCAGACTGTGTTCTTCTATTGTTGTGACTTAGATGACGTTCAGAGCACATTTTATGCCCAATTCATGCAAAACTCCACGTAATCCCAAGGGGTTCACATACTTTTTCTTGCAACTGTATCACTGGTCTACCTCCAGACTGCCAAGTACTGCTGTTATACTCAAGGGACCCTTTGGTAGAAGGGGACCCTTCAAGTACCTATTCTAATCAAACACTGGATTTCCAGTTTTATGGAACAGTACAGAATCACCTCTACTGATAGGTGAAAGTCTGCAATCGTGAATCACATACAGATCTGTGACTTGGGTCAAAGAGTGCTATTTATAAAGTCTAATTGACACTGAGATAAACTAGAATCAGGGAGACTTGCAGTTGGTACAGGTGAGAAGCCAAGATAAAATACTGCAGTACATACACACACAAAAAAGGAAATGAATAGCTGTTCATACACTCAGCCAAATTCAATAACCGATTGCAAAGTGTTAAATAGTTAACACTTGGCGAAATGTGGGAATGCAGGAGAATGATGGGCCTCTGCACCAGGGTGTGTAGTGCAGCTAGCAATTCTTGCTGTACAATAGTGAGACTTGCCAACCAGCAATGTAACGAGCAGTGGCAGCTTATGATTGGTGTGGTTTGGACTAAGAACTATAAATTCCCCTCCCCCATGTTGTTTCATAACATTATTTCAAACATCAGATGCAGACATGTCAACTTACAGTGCCAGCCAGACCCCAACCATCCCGAATTCCATGGGACTGTTCTGAGATTTTAACACAGTCCCATGGTCATGCAGATCCAGGCTTGATCCAACATACTGCTTCAGCTGTATGCAGACTGTAAATTGGGGTGAAATCATGCCCAACAGAGTTTGTAAAGGGCCAAGAAGGAGGAGGGAGAGAGCAACAGCGAAGGGCACAGACGTCTGTGCAAGGTAGGTGTTCACCAATGTTTACTCCTTCATCCCATTGGGCACCATTATTCCACTCACCTTCCACTGGGTTTTATTGTTGCTCCCCAACTTCCACTGGGCACTGTTCTTCCTCCCCAACTTCCACTGAGCACTTTTGTTCTTCTCACCCCTCCTCTTTGCACCATTGTTCCTCCAAAATTTCCACTGGGCACTATTGTTCTTCCCACCCCTTCACTGGACACTGTTGTTCCTCCCCACCTTCCACTGGGAACTGTTCCCCCCCCCCCAACTTCCACTAGGCACTATTGTTCTTCCCATCCCTCCACTGGGCACTATTGTTCTTCACACCCCCCCCACTGGGCACGATTATTCTTCCCACCCCCCCACTGGGCATGATTATTCTTCCCACCCCCCCACTGGGCACGATTGTTCTTCCCACCCCACCACTGGTCACTATTGTTCTTCCCACCCCTCCGCTGGGCACTATTGTTCTTCCCCCCCCTCCACTGGGCACTATTGTTCTTCCCACCCCCTCCACTGGCCACTATTGTTCTTCCCACCCCCTCCACTGGCCACTATTGTTCTTCCCACCCCCTCCACTGGCCACTATTGTTCTTCCCACCCCTCCACTGGGCAATATTGTTCTTCCCACCCCTCTACTGGGCACTGTTGTTTTTCCCCCCATTCCCCGCTGGACACATTTGTTCTCCCCTTATCCCCTGCTGAACACCATTGTCTTGCCCCACTGGGAGATATGTTTTTTCCTGGCTGGACACTATTTTCCCACTCTGCCTCCCACAAGGTGCTATTGTTTCTCCCAACTCCCTGCTGGGAACTATTGTTCTTCAGCCCTGTCTGGGTACTATTGTTTCTCTGCATACCTGGCTAGGTATTATTGCTTCATTCCACCCCCAACTTGGCTCAGTCATTACCCCTAACTCTCACTGGGCACTGTTATTAAACACCCGTGCTGGACACTATTTTTTCCTTCATCTCTTGTTGTTTAACCATGCCTTTTTTGGCATGGCGCTCCACACTCTGCACGTCTTCTCCATCCCAAGGTGCACCTTTTTATTAAGTTCCAAAGATGGGAGGTATGGCATGGTAGCCTGGTCTCCTGCACCCATAGATTTTAATGGCCTATATGTCTACAATTTTCATGTGTCTTAGTCCAAACCGAACTTACGATTTAAAGCCAATCTGTCTGTCATTTTATATTGTAATATGTGAACTACAAGGTGTATGCTGTTACTATTGTTAGTCGGAAAACCCTTCCCTCTTAGTCCCTCTAAAATGGTTTGCGTTTGTTATTAAAGGTTCTGACTTTAGCATTGATCCTTGCCTACCCTCCACCCCTCTGTTCAATGAGCATGCCTCTGCGGCCTGTAATGAATGTTCCAATTGGCCAGTTGGATAACAGCTGAGTAAGCCATAGCCCTAAATTCAAGCCATTGCTAGACAAGTAAGTCTAGTTTCAGAGGGTTAAACAGAGAAGGGGTTTCTGGCTGTTAAAAGAAATGGAATGCACCAGCTCTTGTCCAGTACTATTCGATTTAACCCTTTAATCGCTGAGACATTTTTTAATTTTTAACATGCACAATAAAATGCCCTTTATGGACTAAAATTTATTAAAGACTTTTTTCAAGTGAGTTTCCCCAATATATGTAATGTATTAGGTGCTTATGTACGTATGTGCGTACTAACCTTTACGAACTACTGACCCTGAAATGTATTTTCTTTTCACTAAAAATACATTGTGTTTGTTTTAGTTATGTATATTACATTATTATTGAACTTTACATTTATACGGGAGCTGACAAGCCCACATGTGAAAGTAAACAAAAGTGGTGAGAGATGCCCTTTAGGAAGACCATTGAAGCCAATGCCAAGACAAATTTTCAGCTGCTTTTGAAGCCTGTTTCCAGATTTTGGCTGTCATGGCATAGTTACAGTGGTGGCAGTAAAAAGGTTAGTCCTTTTCCATTCACTTTAGACTCTCAGAAAGCTCTTGGTAAGTGGATCTCCTCCCTGGGCAAGGTCAGGATTCTGAAAACCCTCCAGTTATTGAGTTTGGCTGATTGAGTTAATTGCTGAAATCTGTTCTTTGATTGGAGTTCCACCACAAAGGATAAGTGTCCAGCTCTTAAAATTTTCTTTGGTCACCCCCAGCCAGCAGTTATATAATAGGTTATGCTCACCTGCAAGTCCACTATTCCACTCTCCTCACTGTACAGCCTGCCTGTTACCTGACATCTTCCCAATATTCTCCA